CAGAATTTGAACTTACACTTGGCTTACAAGTGACCTATTCTAGCAAAGTATTAAAAAATTTTAAGACCTTTATTTTTATTGGAAAGTCAGATATATAACAGAAAAGGAGAGACCGAGAGAAAGATCTCCCCTCCATTGACTCACTCCCACGTGGCCGTAATGGCCAGAGCTGAGTTTGTCAAAAGCCAGGAGCCTCTTTTGGGTCCCATGGTGGTGCAGGATCCCAAGGCTTCGGGCCGTCCTCAACTGCTTTCCAAGGCTACAAGCAGGGAGCTGGATGGGAAGCAGGGCCGCCGGGATTATAACTGGCGTCCAAATGGGATCCCAGTGTGTGCAAGTTAAGGACTTCAGCCACTAGGCTACTGTGCCGGACCCTAACACAGTATTTCTAATGAGTCAGATCCTGCTGAAAACAGAGGGAACTCCTTTTGCAGAAGGGGTGGATGTACGTCAGCCCCCGGTGACAGAGGAGGAAGAGCCTTGCTAGTAACTGAACGGATTACTTTTTTTCCCCCTTGGGTGCTGGGGTTAGGTGCACTTTGGGAAGGTTTATGATTATATCATGAAGGTCTGATTGACAACATCAATGACAAAGTGGAAGGAAAAAGTCCCCTCTCCATCAAGCTACTAGCCTGCAGGCCTCTATAAACCTCTACCATCGTGACATGTTGAAAACAACTTTAAAAATTTAGGATCTGGTGGGCTTGGTGCAATAGCCTAGTGGCTAAATCCTTTCCTTGCATGTGCTGGCATCTCCTATGGGTGTCAGTTTGTGTCCCAGCTGCTGCGCTTCCCATCCAGCTCCCTGCTTGTGGCCTGGGAAAGCAGTAGAGGATGGCCCAAAGCCTTGGGACCCTGCACCTCTGTGGGAGACCCAGAAGGCTTCAGATCGGCTCAGCTCTGGCTGTTGCAGCCACTTGGCGAACCAGCCAAGGAAGATCTTTCTTTCTGTTTCTCCTCTCTGTAAATGTGACTCTCCAATAAAAATAAATTAATCTTTAAAAAAAGGAAAACCTTAGGAACTTGTGTATTTGTCTTCATGAAGCACCTCTGGGCTTCATTTGTGCATATTCCATTGGTCCTCTTACCCTAAAGTTACAGGGACAAGGCAGTAAGGGGTGCATTTGCTGGTAACTGCCTGGGTCCTGCTTTGGTGCTACTCATGGGTCCAATTGGTGGAGGCAGGAGCACGGCACAGGAGCTTGAGGAGGTGAAGTGTTGAATTGTTTGATCCCTTTTCTTGACGTGAAGAGCCATGAAGCCAGACACCCTCGGGGATCCCACCTGCTCAGGAGTTTGATGAAGTGAATGCTATCAAAACTGGAAACCTGTAGCAGCTCCATTGAGGCAGTCACCACAGCTGGTTCTCAGCTTCCAGGGCTGGGCACCTGCCTGAAGAATGTCCCCTAGTACTGCTCAAGACCAGTCCTGGGGTGGAATGGGGTGTGGGACAGACTGGACTACTGCTACACTTACTGGCAAACCAGGGTAGGGGGGCGGGCCTGGTGGGGTTTATTGCGGGTCGCTCCAACTAGGCTACAGCTCCTGCTGGTTTATGCGTGGGCTGAGTATGTGCTGGGCAGAACCAGGCTGGACTGCAACACCCATTGGTTCCAGTGGAAGTCGGGAGTGAAAACAGAACCAACCCAGCAATTGCAACCACCAGCTGATCAGGGCGATGGACTGTGCCGGGCCCTGTATTTGCTAGATCTCCCCAATCAAAATGCTGAACTCAGAACCCTAACCAAGAAGAGAGAGAAGACAGAACAGGTCAACCAACCATTTCAGCTATATGTGGGCAGCGAAATCCAGGAAAAACAGAGACTCTATGATGGACTATGTCAACCAGTGGATTCTTCAAAGACTTCATAGTGCTTGGAGTGGCAAGACTGGCAGCGATTCATAACTGTTGAAATATCCAAACCACCTGAGCAAGAACCTCAGCGCACACCATACATCCGGGACCTGGGGAGGGTGGGAAATGGGGTGGGCCTTCTCCCTTAATACCCCCTTTAAACATGAAGGAAATAATATGGAAAAAATAATAGTCTTACCCACTTTCCTGTAGCCCTTGAACCTTTTTACCCTAATTAACTATGTAAAGATTGTAAAAAAAAAAAAACAAAAACCCCAAAAAAACCAGTCCTGGGATTGTCTTCCACCCCCATTCCTGTGGATCTACTTTTTTTTTTTTAATGGATGGGGCATAATATAGAAAAGATCAGGTTCTGAGCAGACAAAATTGTGCTGCCATTCTATTCCCAATCTTTTGTAGCTATATGATTGTAGCACGTTACTTAAGCCTAAGACTTAATTCACTTAACTTGGAAATGGGATAGTAACAACTAATTGTGGGGATTGTTATGGGGATTTAATAAATTCCTGTATGTTGGGATTCCCAATGGTAACTGCCAGTATCACACTCCTCCTATGTTCATTGCTGTTTCTATGCCTCCTTAGGAACGGTTTAGGGTTAGGAGGAAAGAGGCCAGCATTCACCTGGGGTCTGGTGTGTGCCTGCGCTGATGTGGGCCCTTTGCAATCGGCGCTTTACTGCCTACAGCAACCCAGGTGCTATGGTGCTCGCCATTATTAGCATCATCGCCAGGTGAAGGAACAAACTCGGAGTTTAAGTACCTGTGGATAAAAGTATAACCAGTGCCAGCATCCCAATGGGTGCCAGTTCATCTTCTCTCTGCTCCACTTCCAATCCAGCTCCTTGCCAATGGCCTGGGAATGCAGCAGAGGATGGCTCAAATCCTCGGGTGCCTGCACCTACTTAGCAGAGTGAAGGAACTCCTTACTCCTGGCTTTGAGTTGGTTCACCTCCAGCTGTTGTGGCAGTTTGGGGAGTGAGGCAGAGGGTGGAAGATCTTTGTCTCTCTTCATCTAACTCTGCTTATCAAATAAAATTTAATAAATCTTTAGAAAAGATGCAATTAAAAAGGCTAGCTAATGCCTAAGAAACCAGAGACATGGCCTTTTGACTATACTGCACTGTGTTTTGTAATTTTGTTTCTTTAGTATCTTTCTGCAACCTCTTTCAGAATGTAGGAGGCACTGCTGAGGACAATGAAATTGTGGGAAAAAATGCTTTCTTTGAAAGTTAAATCTTGACAACATGAAACTATAGGCAGGCATATACAAAGATAAACATGCAGGAGAGTATTAAAAAAAATCTCCATTGACAACTAGGATTAAAAGATAAACTTATCTTGGTGTAAAACAACTTTGAAATCTGTACATCATTTTTTCATAATATGCATTCTCCATGAGCTTTTCAAAACTCCCTTTTGTATATCATAATACATGAAGAAATTCACTTAGGGGGACAGCATGAATAAGCAAATTTAAAAATATGTTGTATTAAAAACTTTAAGCATGTGACTCTTTTCATGTAGCTGTTTTTAATATTTGTATAGATGTAAAATTTGAATATTTAAACATAGATAAAATTTAAATAAGTCATAGAAATGGGATGTGTACATTTGCATATACACATACATACATGTCTCTCTATACATACATGTAAATCCCTGAGTCTTGTCTGTATTACCAGAATGACAAAAAAAAACCCCCAAAAATGAAAATGTCCAACTCTTACCACACAGAAAAGAAAAAAAACAAAGTGGCCCACCATGAAAATGACCGTCCCTTAGGTAATATAATTATATAAAAGATTTATTATTTTATTTATGCATATCTATATCTGTAAGAAACTTTTTGAATAACATATTAAGAAAACCGTGATCTTTCAGAAACCCACTATTTCCAAAACTATGCTGGTGTTCGGATTCAGTTCAAGCCAGGTAAATAAATATGATTTAATTTTGTTAGTAGCAACGAGTTTTGACACCAACATGTTAAACGTTTCATTAATTCAATGTGTTTTTGCTTTGAAGATGAAGTGACAACACCTGATAGAATAGCAAAGTACCAGGACCTCCAGATGCGTATCATCCTGTTAAGCTTTTTCTTTGCTATTACCATTTCTTTTCCCCTAAGAAAATCTAGGCACCTTGGCTGTCTTCTAGTGGTTGGCTAGTAGAGGGTGCAGATGGCGTGGGAGGGCACACTGGCTCTCTTCTAGGCTCTGGAAGTGGAGGAATTCCACTTGTTTTATTTAGGAGCCATTTAAAAAAATAGGATTATGGGAAAGGAGGACGCTGACAGCTAGTGCTCTAGTTTAGCTGCCCTCGACCAACCAAGCTCTTAGGGCACAGCTGCAAACCACTTAAGCATGCTTCAACTGACTTTTAATTAACTTAAAGAATACAACCTGTCCTACGGTTGGAACCATTTGCCTTTGATTTGGTTCTGGTAATTAAAAGAACAAAATGCGTATTTTCCAATAACAAAACTACTATTGCAACATCTACTGTGCTAGCAAAATTATACCCATCATCAGCAGTGTCGCCCCATTAAGTCATCCCTGGAATCATCTTTGGGGAGCCCAACTGCCCATAGAAAATGTTACTACCTGAGTGCCCTTCCACAAGCTTGTGGCCAGTGAAACTAAAGGATGAGTTTTCTTCTGCTGTTCAGAAACCTCGGAATCCACGCACGGCTTTTTCATAAGAGTCATTTTCCCTGAATTTTATGAAGACCTACTGTGAACCTGGATTTCGAAAAAATTTTACACCACACAAGCTCATCTGTCAATTTCATTTTCCACAAGCTTTTGAAAAGTTTGCTGGTCCACAGCTCAGCTCTCTCAAAAGGCAAATGCAAAGAGTGCAACTCTGCTTTCCGCAAGACCTGACTCTTCCTCTATTTCAAAGGCTTGAGCACAAAAGGGAACTCCCAGAGCTGTTTTCTTGCAGTAGAATAAAGATTCAACAACTTCCTGAGCACCCGGAACAACGAGACAGGGACAGGCAAACATTCCAAAGACTTGGAGGACCTGACTGCCAGGCACCCCAACGCCTCTCTTCTCCACACAGAGAAAATGGGCACGTTGGCCTGGTGACCAAGGAAGAGTCATAAAATCCATTACTCACCATTCTCACGAACAAACTGATCTGCCTGGCAGCCGGCAGTGCTGTGACTCGGACAGTGAACGTGCAAGTTGGCTCTGCTGGGTGGACTTCCTTCTCTCTGCTGTGTGGTTTATCCAGCCTTCACACGCCGAGAGGTGCGGTGGCATTTGCATGTTATCTCAGCCCTCAGAGCATTTGGATCATCCGCCAGGTTTGTCTTGTTATGATACTTAGAATCAAGCGAAAGCAACTACACCTGAAGCTTGGAAGGTTGACGCGTCGACCCACAATTTTTAAAGTGATTGGGTATTGATATTTTTATGCATTAACCTGTTTTATATACAATCTGCATTTAGAGATGCATTTGTGTGTCCGCCTCTCTCTCTCTCTCATTGTGCCTCTCATCCTCTCTGAAGGATTCATACTGCAATGTTAATAGCATTGACTTGGATGGAAGCATTATCACAGATACTCTTAGTTTATACTTGATTGATTTTTGTGTTTTGAATTTGTAGCACTTGTATAAAAACCTGGCTCTAGGGGCCAGCACTGTGGTGTAGTATATCAAGCCTCCATTTATAGTGTCAGCACCATTTCAAGTCCTAGTTGCTCCACTTCTCATCCAGCTCCCTGATAATGCATTTGGGAAAGTAGTGGAAGATGGCCCAAGTGCTTGGGCTCCTGCAACGACACGAGAGACCTGGAAGAAGCTCCTGGCTCCTGGATTTGTATTGGCTCGGCTCCAACCATTGCAGCCATTTGAGGAGCAAAGCACCAAGTAGGAGATTTTCTCTTTCTCTCTCTGTGTTTCTCCTTCTCCTTATTTCAAAGAAAAAACAAAAACTGCTTCAATCTTAAAAACAAAAGGATCATGAGATTTGATCAAAAACTTCAAATTGTCGTTAAAGACATTACCAATGTTGCGATGATAGAAATTTTACCAGGTTGTGTCACTCATTTCACTCAGAAGATAAAATGTATGTTAATCTAAGTTCATGGGTCAATGTGGGGCTTTGTTTTTAGCAGCAGCTGCCTCAGTGTCTTATCCAGGTGAACTGGATGAGCTTGAGGTGAAGGAGGCATGTTTGCCCTTGGAGAGCCAGGCTTGACAGCCACCCCACAGTACCTCTCAGAACATTTTCTGATGGATGCACTGGGCTCCTTGAGTCTACAATAGGCACAAAAATAAGTTCAAAAGCAGGTCATTTTTGTTTCTTATTACAAAGAAAAGGCAACAGAAAATTCAGTTTGGGTGTGTATCTTGTCCTAAGCAGTATATTTAGTTTATCATCTATGTTTTTTTTTTTTAAACCTAGAATTGAGTGAATGCCAACTACTACCATGTCCACACAAAATCTGTTTCAAAACAGATGTTTCCCTTCTGGCTGGGGATATGGGGAGTGTATAAAGTCACTATCTCTAATACCCTAAGGGCACAGGTTCATGTCCTGCTCTACTTCTGACCCAGTTCCCTGCTACTGGGCTGGGAGAAGTGGTGGAAGTTGGCCTGAGCACTGGGGCCTAGGCCTCCCAGGGAGGTGACCTGGATGAAGATCCCAGCTCCTGACTTCAACATGGCCCAACACTGGCCTGTGGCCACCTGGGATGTGAAACAGTAATTTGAATATCTCATTCGCTGTCTCTCCATCTCTCTATATTAATTTTGATATCCTTAAAGAAAAAAGATGTTCCTTGTTACGTTTTATTTAAAATAAAAAAAAAAGGGTTTTCAAAAATCAAGGTGTGATTAGAAATGTAGATAGAGCGTCATTGCCTAAACAAGACAGATAGGGTTAATTTCTGAGGTGGAAAGCAACCTAGAGGAAGTATATGGTGCAGATTAGCTTTGAGTCATACACAGAATCCCCGAAGTCAGGAATCTGAAGTTGGATCTCTAGAACATAATAAATGCTCAGTGCACAGAGGAGGAAGATCTAAGCAAGAGAAAAGGATTGAAATGAGGCACGCCTTTGACGTGACCCATTTTTCAGAAGACCTTTGAATGGAAAATTCTTTGTGTTATCTGTTATCTGTTAAAGCAGAGACTATCACAGTACAGGTGCAGTTTAGAGTCAAACATACCTATTCCAGCTCCCAGCTTCATACCACACTGTTGAATCAATCTCTAGGGTTAAGAGCCAGACATCAGTGCTTTTTAAAGCTGCCAGGTGGTTCGAAGGCAAAAACACACTGGGAAATTCAAACCTTACAAGGGCAGCAACTGATTCATACCAGTGTTGTGTGACGAGATCACTAGGCCAACCTGGTAAGCAGAAATGATCTTGACACTATAACACTAGTCACTGTTAAATTTATCAGTATGTTTGCATCAGTCCTACATAATAATTTTTCGTTCTTAATTATGTTTTGATTTTTCTCTCTGTTACAATAGAAAGAAAGTTACATGATAAATAAATCTAGCAATTGTTTAGTTAACAATAGAACTGATGGGACAAATCTCTGGTTATGAGATCTTTAATTCATTCATATGATGTTTATTTCAGTTTGTGCTTAATTACTGGTGCAGATTAGTTTTGGGGTTGTTATGCAAATAAATTCCACAGTCTCTCCTGTGTGAATGAACAACATTTGGGGTAGGAAAAGAATGATAAGGGCTGAAGCTCCCAACTTTAACTGATAAGCCACCAATAGGTTTCTGTTTTAGTTTTTGGAGATAACTGCTTTGCTTTTAAGTACATATGTGAAATTTCACATATGAATATATTTCCTGTAATGTCAATTAGGTTGACAAGTCACTGAACAGGAAGAGGGGACAGGAAATGCGACAGCGATGTCGGCCAACACAGTGGTGGCATTGTGCCACGGTGCCTTGCAGGTATTTCTGTCAGCAGCTCAGAGGATGCAAAAGCGGTTGTAACTCTTCAACTAACCCAGCCCACCTTCTCTTTTCAAAAGTTTTCGTTCTGGAACACTGTATTTCTTCATGCAATAGTGAAGTGAGTATAACTCCCTGGCAGGCATCTGGGTGGAGACTGTGAAGACTGTGGGTTCTGGATGCTTCGAGAAAATCAATCTTGTTAAATGTACAGGTAAATAACAAGAGAGCACTAATCAAATGCAAGCATCCTACTGACCCATCTTTGAAAGGATATCTCATATTATAAACAAGATGTCATCTGTTTAACTCAAATGGCTAACTTTTTAGAGAAGAAGTGAGTGATCCTCTATGTGACCAATCCTGATACAATGGGCTTCAAAAAGACCGTATCCCATGTTGAGAGGGTCCGGGAGTAAGTTCTCCCTCCGCCACTGATCCGGCTTCCTATGAAAGCACAGGAGACAGCAGATGAATACCCCAGTGCTTGGTTTCTAGCCCTCATCTCCTGCCTTTGGCCTGGCCCAGCTCTAGCTATGGCATGCACGGGGGGAGTAGCGCAAAGGGAAGGTCTCTTTCACCCCGCCCCTCTACTCTGTCATTCTACTGTTCAAATGGACAAATAAAACCTAAAAATATTAGAAGTTTATGGAAAATGGGATTATAAGATGCTCATTTTGGTGTATTTTTTGAAATCAATATTTTTTAAATAACGCATTTTTCCATGAATTTTTTGCACCCTCCCCTCATAAGTATGGATTTCAGTTCTTTTGTACCCAAATGTGTTGATCTTATAATTCTATTTTCACAAACTTTCAAAAACAAAATTTCACTATTTGAATGTCAGGGAGACTGCGAAGCAGCGGAGAAACAGACACAGTGATCTTTCATCCACTGGGTCACTCCCCAAATGACTGCAATGGTCACCACTGGGCGGGGCCAAAATGAGAGCCTGAAGCTCTTTCTGCGTTTCCCCCATGAGTGACAGGAGCTTCCACAGCTCAGGTCAGTAACAGTCAGTTGGGTTGGAAGTGAAGGCAGGCTTCTGTCCCATGCACTGATAGGGAGCTGAGGTGTCCCAAGTGTCACTGCATGTCTTCCGCACCAACTGTCTGCAGTTCCTTTTGTGCTGGGTAAGGATCCATCAGAGCACAGGGGTGAAGAGACCCACCTCCTCTGAGAAGGCTTCTCTGTGTCATGCTCACTTCCACTTTGCTGGCCTCAGAGGAAGCACTTTTAATGTTTGCCTTTTATGGCTCTCTAAAATAGATCAGGTACCTTCTATTGGCTCCCCCATTGCATCTGCAACTTTTTAAACAAGAACCATCTTTCATGTATTTCTCTTGCCCCTCCAAAAACTTATATAACAAACCTGTTTGGGCTCATGAATTCACTTTATAATCTGATGAATGCAATATGTGCTTTATATTCTAAGACTGCACTTGTCCAGCTTCCCTTAAAGGCATTCAATGATGGGTAAGAGAATCCATAACTAACGTCATGCCAAGCACCATGAGCCACGCACTACACTGCTGCGCTTTGATCCACGGACTCAAAGCACAGACGTGCTAGATGACTCAAGTTTCCAGACGAGACACCAGTCAGTTAAAACCGCAGTGTTTTGTTAACGTGTCTCTTTTTATCAAAAAGCATTTGAGCAATTCAGACTCACAAAGTTAATAAAAATTCAAGCCAAAGGTGGTCCTGTTTGGCTACGTGTGGACCAGGGGAAGAGAGCCCAGGAGGAGCATGCTTGGGGAAGGAAGAAAACCTTGCAAGAAGGAAATGGGATCTTGATTTGGGTCATTTCTCTTGCACTTTTTTGTTTTGTTTTAAACATAAATTGAACTGTTTTGTATATGGACTTTATATTTTTGGATAAAAACTGGTCTTCATTTTTTTTTTCAGAACATCAATGACCTGAAAAGGATAACTTTAGCAGAAAATTAATGCACTTTTCAGTTGCAGAGCACCCATTCTATTTTTCTAGGATAACTGAATTGTATTTACACTGGAGTAAGGCAGGGGGCGATTTTTTTTTTTTGACAACTTACAACCAATTCCAGAAAGAGAAGAGTTCTATAAAAGAACTACTGAACTTGGACAGTGGGAAAATAATCTGGACTTTCTTTCAGGAGTCTTTTATTAAGCCAATTGAATTGGACAGCAAAGAGGAAATGTCAAAGCTTATGGAAGAATCCTATGTTATATAGTTTTGTATTTCTTTGCAGTTGGGGCCATATTTTGTATCCTACCTCTCCTTGGT